CTGCAGGGAAAACCGTCGCAGGGAGTTTATTCCACAGCGATGCTGTTCTCCAGAGATATGAATTCTGATATAATGAGGTTCTTGGTGCCTCTAGTTTGACAGTAAATTCATGGTTACCGTCTGTTTGACGGGTTCGCCTGGTAGGTGCTACTCTCGGTGGAATCATACGTGCCAACTCTTCAGAGCATTTTCCGTGATAGTACCTGTAGAAGAGAGATAAATCGCCCACCGTTCTGCGATGTTCGAGACCATCCAAGTTACGAGTAAGTGCGGGGTCATTGATCAGCTTGATAGCTCGTTTTTGCACGGTATTCAAAAGCATTAAGGTATGTTTGGGTGCTGCACTCCATATATGTGAGCAGTACTCCATAGTTGGTCGAATCTGGGCTTTGTAGAGTGTCAGCAATTGGCTTGGTGTGTACAGATGTCTTGTACGAAATAGCACCCCCAGCTTTTGGGAGGCCCTTTTAGCAATATCTGCCACGTGACTGTGCCAAGACATGTTGGTCTCTGCAGTAACCCCCAAGATGTTCAACTGACTCTGTAATGTGACAGCACTTCCAGATAGCATGATGTTTGGCTCACCGGTGCTGGTCTTTTTTGAAAACAGAGCTGCTTGGGTTTTCTGCGCGTTGAACTGTACAAGGTTTTTGTTACCCCAGTCCTCTATTATCTCCAGGTCGTTATTTATCTGCGATATTTGAGTTAGTCTAAGATGATGGAATTCACGTGCGGAAAGACCTGTCGGTGGTATGAGTGAGGAGACTACATTGCCATCGTCTGCAAAGCAATAAAGTGGATTTACTGTTTTATCTATGAGGTCATTTATGTAAATCAGAAAAAGAGTTGGCGAAAGGATTGCTCCCTGTGGCACACCAGCATTTATTTGGTAAGAGTTGGAGTTCTGGCCATCCAGTGCAACATAAATGGATCTGTCCTTTAGGTAACTTTCAAACCAAGTGCAAAGTTTCGGCGATAATCCCATTGCTTTGAGCTTGTTGAGCAGATTTTCATGCCAAACTTTGTCGAATGCTTTAGATATATCTAAGGCAATTGTTCTTGTTTCACCCCGCAACTCAATCGCTTTTTGCGTTTGTAGACCTCGAGAATGCCTACAATACAGTGCCCTTGAGAAAACTTATCAAAGTTTTGGCAAATACTAACTTCAGTAGAGAATACATGAGAGCCATTAGTAATATTCATGAAACCCGTGGTAGAGTATAGTAAAAGTAGGAAATCAAGCTTCAGAAAGTTTTACAATAACAAGAGGATTAAAGCAAGCGTTGCTGTTTATCATCTACACTGCTCGAGGAGGCCTTGAAGAACTGGAGAAATAAGTGCTCTGGTATGGGAATAGTTGGAGAACATTACTTGTCCACACTATTATTTGCAGACGATCAGGTAGTAATAACTAGGTGTAAAGAGGACCTGGAAAGGACGAATATGAATAGTGGGTAATGAAAATAAACAAGAGAAAGAGAGAATATCTTTGTATTGGAGATCATGATGAAGACCCGGATCTTAGCTTAATAGATCTGAAAAAGTGTGAGGAGTATAACTACTTGGGAAGCTTGATATCAACAAAAGGAAAATCAGTGCGAGATATAAATAACAGAGTAACAGATGGTAAAAAATGCGTTAACATTCTGAATTCTTTACTCTGGAGTAGTCAGATTTCTATAAAAACAAAAAAGACGATTCACGAAGCAATTATAAATCCGATATTGACGTACGGAGCTGAATGCTGGCAGATATCAGAACGAAATAAAAGAAAGGTAGATGAAGTGGAAACAGACAAACTGGAGCATATACAGAACGCGAAGAAGAACAGGAAAAATATATAGAACCACCAAAAGAATAGACACCAGACAGCTCATATGGTATAGGCATGTGTACGTTTTATGGAACAGGAGGAAGAGAGGAAGACCAGCGCTAACAACATGTTATCTAACATTAAAAAGAATATGAATGATAGATTGATAATGATCGAAATGCGGAATCCGGCAAAAGGCTGTAAAACCCCTGCGACGATAATAATGACTATCACCATCCATACAAACCCACAATAGTTCAAGGACTTAAGGAAACTGATTTTCCAAGACGCATACGATTCTGTGAGTGGTATAAGGAAGTGTGATGAGAATTCCGATTTTGTAAATCATGTCTTATGGTCGGATGAGAGTAAGTATACGAATTGTGGAGTTTTTAATAAGCACAACACTCCTTATTAGGTTGTGTAAAACTCTCACGGAGACGTCTACAGACCAGATCGGGCCCCTATTATAAATCATCAATCATTTCCGGAAATCAAGTTATAGGATAATTTTTGTTTCACTGCAACCTAAACGGACAGAGGTACCTTACAGCTTCTGCAAAACCAGGTTGTGCCGGCTTTATGAGCTACCGTAACCGACGATGAGTTTAGAAGAACCTTGTTTAGACAGGTTCGATGTCCGGCTCACCATTAAACTGAAAAACTTCTTAAGAGAGCAGTTTGACGAAAAAAATATTTCATTAAATATGTTGGCCTCCTAGATCTCCAGACTTTTCGCCCTTGGATTCCTACCTCTGGGGTCACACAAAAAATGAGGTCTATGAATTTGATCCTCCTGCGACCATGGAAAAAGTTTTAGAGACAAGAAACATTTTCGGAAATACTTGCTAGGTTGTAGAGAAAACAGTCACTTATTTTCAAAACTGTCTCGATGCAAATGGACGTCATTTCGCAAATATGTAAACTGATACAGCAGTTACGAACAATTTTCAATTTCAAGTTTCTGCAAATAAATTAGATTCAGCGATAACTTATTAATATTATTTTCTGGCAAATAATTTATCGGAAAAAATTAAGACCTAACGCTCGGAGTTGCCCCAAACATCCTAAAAACAATAACTCACGAAGGCCAACAATCAGTTAGCAATAATGTCCAATCCTCACCCAGAAAAAAAATATCACCTATTTTAGAAATTCAACAAAAATATTCTAGAACCAACCACATTTACAATAGGCCCAAAGGTATGTTGTTTTTTACCCTTTTGTGAATAATGAAAATAGCCGATGGCTAAAGACAAGTTCCATCTCTATAGTACACAAATCGACATGGCACAATGTTTTTAATATTCCTCTGAAATAATAATAGTCTGTCTGTTCTTTAACTTTCTGCTGTGTGTTTTACGTATGTGTAAAAAATATAAGGAATGATCCAAGATAATCAGAGCACAAAATTCACAGATCTAGGCCCCAAATAGTATTTTCATTGTGCCATCATCTTATGTGTATGTGTGTGTTTGACAGAATAAATTATTGAGAAGTTGTTTTACCTTTTTTTTTCAGGAATCCCATCTGGCCTATTTTGGCTTATTCAAACCAGTAATTATCTAAAATTTGGTAATAGGTAATAACATTTTTCGCTTATTCTTTAGTTCTTTAACATTTGTTTATTTTTAGGCTTTTACAGTTATTTTAATTTCAACAAAATTCGTCCCAGCAAATACAAAATGGATAATTCCGGACGATTTCCTTGTGGAAAATGCGGAAACACCTACAAACAGAAAACTCATTTGATCAGGCATTTAAATTTTGAATGTGGAATTGAACCCAAGTTTAATTGTTTCTGTGGAAAGAAGTTTAAGCAGAGAAGTAATTATAACACACATTATAGGAGTGTGCATCAGTATAATATGGATTTTGATTATCAGCCAAATTTTGGAACGTTACCTTGAAATAATAAACCTAGTTAAAGTATATTCAAATCCGAGAGGCCAAAAATAACTTAATAATAAACACGCGACAGACCAGAACGGTAAACTTATGACTAGAGTTCGACGTCTTGCTTCTGTTTCCATCTGCGGAGTTCATGATAGACAGGGCCGAACTCAGTCATAAGTTTACTGTTCTGGACTGTCGCATGTTTATTGTTTGTTATCTTTGATTCGAATATACTTTAGGTATCACAAACTAAGAATGATATCTTCTATTATCTTCAAGCGGGCTATAAATAATTAAATTTTATTGTCGTCAACATTCGTCATTGATGTGATTGATTCTGGCCTAGGTAGGTAGTAGCATTGATCAAACTCTGGCAGAAAACATTGCAGTCCCTTGAAGATAAAGTGTTGTATGCCATGCGAAAATTGAGACTCGCTTTTTGGACCTGATGACATAAATAACTGTATACCTACTTAGTTAATTAGGACCTCGCACAAACCTTATGGAAAATAGATTTTTGCCAATTTGGCTAAATTTTTGAAATTGGGTAGATTTTGATATTCTGATTAATTGCGCAAAAATGATTCCATGTACAGTTTTTGAATAAATGGGCTTTAAACATGGTATTGGAAACGCATGTTGCTTAATAGGTAGGTCCTCAACGCTATCAATTGACTAAAATAGCCAAACTGTGGAAATAAAAAAAAATGTATCTCGGCTCAGATATGAACCACTGATCCTCGTTTTCAACACCGCGTTCCCATTACCATCTTTTGAGCCAATTTACTCAATAACTGTACTTGGAATCATTTTTGCGCAATGATAACTTTCAATCAGTATATCGAAATTTACCCAATTTCAAAAACTCAGCCTATTTGACAGAAAGCCATTTTCCATAAGGTTTGAGCGGGGTCCTTTGGGAAATTTATCGAATTTTTTTCTGTTGTTTTTTCTCTTTTTTTTTATATTTTCCTAGTAAATTTTGTTTGTGTTGACAATATTAATATATTCTAGTTATTTTTTGTATGTGTTTTATAAATATTTCACAAATTAATATATGTAGGTAAACAATCATAAACTTTTATATGAACCTCTATTAATTGACTGTTGGAGTTTTACAAAAATTTATACGTACTTACTGTGATAATTTGGACTAATAAACACAGTTTTATAAGAACTTCTGAAGTGTTTTCAATTTTATTTCAAAGATTAAGATGCCAAATATTTTTTTACTAAGGCATGCCTTATCCATTTCACTTATAAATATTCTAATAAAAAGTATAGTTTTTAGAAATATGCAATTTGCCCAAGACCGCAACGGCCGATTCATGTGTCCCAATTGTAACTCATCCTACAAGCAGAAGGGACATTTGGTAAGACATATCAAATACGAATGCGGAGTAGAACCACAATTCCAGTGCCAAGTATGCTTTCGAAGATTTAGGCATAAGAGTAACCTTAAGGCTCATTACTTATTTTTACACAAAACTGGAGAGTTCCAGAACCCATAAGACAATTAAATTGGGGTTCTAATTTGTATCTAAAAAGCTCTGACTTAGAGGGGTTTCCCGCTCAAGGAAGGGTGGCTACAAGCTTTATTATAATTGAAATGATGTATACTTACTTATGCAGGGTGTCCCAGGGAAAACAGTCCACCCCGATTTATTGGATTTGGCATGAGAATCTGGAAAATCGCTCGGACACGTCGATTTTTGATGCAACTATTTTTCAGGTTTTTTCATCCCCGTAGCTTCAACCCCCTAGCTGGGGGGGGGGGGGGGGGAACAATCCCCAAAATTTGAATAGGGGATAGGGGTCGTGTCACACCTCTTTTTAAAGGTCTCACCGAGTTCTTTATGGCCCTAGAATTTCGTCTTATTATTTTCATCCGTAACGAAATGACAACTTGTCAAAATCTTGGAAATAGACTATTGTTTTAGTAGGAGTAAAAGCGATACTTACCTTTCTTAATAAAAATACTTGAAATTGAAGTTTTTTATTATTATTATTATTATTATTATTATTATTATTATTATTAATGAGGTGTACACGAGAATTGTGAATTGTAAGTATTTTTATTAAGGAAGGTAAGTACCACTTTTAATCCTACAAAAACAATAGTCTATTTCCAAGATTTTGACAAGCTGTCTTCTCGTTACGGATGAAAATAATAAAACGAAATTCTAGGGCCATAAAGAACTCGATGAAACCTTTGAAAAGAGGTATGACACGACCCCTATCCCCTATTCAAATTTGGGGGGGTTGTTTTCCATCTAGCTACGGGGATGAAAAAAACTGAAAAATATTTACCCCTCAAATCAAAAATCGGCGTGTCCGAGCATTTTTCCAGATTTTAATTTCAAATCGAAAAAATCGGGGTGGACTGTTTTCCCTGGGACACCCTGTATGTCAATTGTGTGCACATCTGTAAGCAAATCTATAACTTTCCATAAGCCCATAGACACTACAAAACGCATCGATTGCCAAACACCTGATCGGAAATATTTACGATTTTATGAGATTTTCTGTAAGATACAGGAAGTGCAGAATTGCAGCTATAGACATAGGTTTGGTTATAAATTTGCTTACATATGTGAACAGAATTGACCTGTTAGTTTTGAAACAAGATTCAAAAGACACCAATTGTTTGATGAAATTCACGCTGTTGGATTTCATTACACTTTGATATTGGCCAATTATTGACGGCCTAAGATTACGCCTTTATTTTGGTATAGTTGGAGGGACAACTAAATTGACCTGAGACAAGATATTTGATCTCATTCTCGCACAAGTCAGAAACAGTCAAGCTTCTATGCAACGATTGACTCGTCCGTGAGCAAGTCAAACAAAGTAAAACCGGTAACCACTGAAGGCAAACACTAGCACGTTCAAAGTTGACGAAACACACGTGTTCAAACTTCTCGTTAAATTTTGAAAATTCTGTCTGCTATGCCACGATTCTCCTTATAAATATATTACAAACGTGAGAAAATCAACTTCAAAAGAAAAATAAGTTTGACGGCCCTGTGGCGATTCTCATCTGTGCAGGAATGCGATATGTGTCGCCACATGTGCTGTATATCCCATAGAATTTTCAAACTATTCAAAATCGATCAAACGATATAATATACTCAAAACATGTTATGAATTCTTGATTGAGATTAGCACTGATCAATCATCTTCGAAGCATTGCCAATTAGAAGACAATTGCGTTGTCCGTCTTCAACATTAGTTTTAAAATTATCCAGATTAGGTATACGAATCTGCCAATTTCACTGCCAGCGACTGATGACAAAAAAATTAATTTTGATGTAAAGTATTGAGACCTTATATAGTGCCTTATCGAAGTTTCTTTTGAAATTGATTACAAAACATTTATTTATGTATCTTTTCATGATTATAAATTCTATTATACCTAATTATGGATGACGAGAAATGATTTTTCCATTTGGAACTCGAATAACATGGCGCAAACGGGCATCGCCGGGTCAGGAGGATTGTTGAAGTCGAAGTGCTTTTGTCATAGTCTAAAAAAACGGAACATAATGTGTAAGCCCCATTGTACTGGGTCCTGAACTGACGGCGCTAGCCCCACCGAATTCTCAATTACCATGTTACTCGAGATTGAAAGGAAAATGCATTCCTGGTCACCCTGAATTAACTCGTGATCAGATCCATGGTGGCAACTTTTTGTTAATACAGTGCGTCCTTATCTCGCCCTCTTACGCCCCTTAAAATTTAGTAGGAATACTAAGGTGCCCTCTTACGCCCCTTAAAATTTAGTAGGAGTACTAAGGTGCAACATTACTATTATTTCTGGCATACGGTAGACTCTGAAACAGAAATTAAACTTTCCACCGTAGTTTAAATCATGATCGATCGGGACTATCAATTAATAGAACAATGTTTTTTTTTGACAGGCAAAGCATTTAATTTTAACTAGGTTCATCAGCCTCCCGCCAGACACGCAGTATCTAACGAGAGATACACTGAGATAAACAGAAGAAGAATACAATTAGTCCTTTATGAGAGACTCACAGAAAGAGGCACACTACATCTTGACAAACATAGGTATTCAGAACTCACCGCCAACACCATCAAACCAATTACTGAAAGAAGAACAAGAATAGACAAAATAGAAAACTTTATGAAATAAATAGATAAAGATGTGTGGAAGCGCCGAATCCATAGAAGAAACAATCCGCAAGAACGGCGAAATGGAGGAATGTTAAAACACGCAGGAAAATCCCCACAAAATGTAATCAAAGTCCTACTGAATAATTGCTTTCATGAAATAAAAATAACCTGGGAGACGTACAACTATGAAGTCTTCCTCCTCTTAAGCCGGTCCCAGACGATGCGTGTATTTGGCAAATAGGCGAATCTGCATCACTCGCATGAATATTTGCTTGGTATCTCACACCGGGTGGTGGTGTGACAAAACACTATTTATATATGAGAGCAATGCGAAGTCACACATACTTGACGTCGAGTTCCTTCTTTCGTGCCAGTTTTGCGAAAATTGCCGGAAAAATGACGAATCTTCGTCAAACTCATCACGAATAAGCCCGAAAATCAAAAATGTCTAACGCTGAATAAACTCATCTTCTGGGACCGGCGTTAAAGAAAGGCGACAGTACGAACTCTGCAAGTTATAGACCAATCTCTCTTATCATCCCTTTATATAATCTGTATGAAGATAATAACGAAAAGACTGGACACACGAAGCTAGATTCTATCAGGCTGTGGAATATGCCGGCAGGATTAAGTTCCATCGACCATTTACATGCCGTCACTCGATTTTTTCATCATTGTCATACGAAGCACAAGTAACGACTTGCAGACTCTAGCTGTGTCTAGGAGAAAAAAAACCTCTTGTATGAGGTAAATGTGCATTACCTTCTCGATGTGAGGGGCTGATGGGGAATTTTGTGAGCAATCAAATTTCTCTTTTCTGGTGAAAATTGGTAGGTAGGTACTCAAAATTAAAAAAAAAATCGGCAAAATCTTTAACCGTAAACAAACAAATCTAACCCAACTTCTCAAATTGTGCTAATACTCATGTTGTATCCTGATAAGATCTCAGAAATAGGTGCGTTGATCTTGGGATTGAAATCGATCTCCATAGCTTTGTTCCAACACGTCAACTATGCACTGTACCGTCACGATTCTGCGCGAAGCCAAACATTTGTGCGTGGAACCTGAAATTCGTATACAGAGTGATTCCGAAACCGTTCATAGGACGTTTTTTGACGTGTTGGAACAAACCTAATACCGATTTTCATGGTGCTTCAAATATCAAAATCGGTTTTAGACCTTAGAACCTCCATGAACATGTACTAAATGTTTGCTTACCTATTTCCAATCCGAAAGACAATCAAAGCTTTTGTCAAGTTACTCAATATTGTAAACAACGCTTTCGATACATATGGCGATTTTGGCATGCTTTGGTACATGGTTTGTAACCCTATTTGGTCCGTCAAATGCATACCAACCAATTTCGGATACGAAAATGATGACATCACCGTGACTCTGGAATCCTTTTTGCTGTCAGATAGGATACCCTGGTCAGCAGCACCATTATCTACCTCTATTTTCGTTTTGTCCTGCTATGGAAACAAAAATAAATGCAAGTTCGTTAGAATTTGAAATTTTTCAACAAATATTGGCCCGGATTCTATTTTACGAGTCGAGTCGAATTGTCTGTTATGCTCCGCACGTACCGTGTAATACGTATCAAAAAATCGTAAAATAGAATCGCTATTTTCTTTGACAATTAGATACGATTTTCGACTCGACTCGTAAAATAGAATCCGGAAGCTGTTTGTTTTTTCGCCTTCATCTTCCTATATTTTGACTGCCAAATAATTTTTAACTATCATTTGCTTATCATTTGAAAAATGACTTTGAACGTCAGATATAAGGTAACTTTTTTGCTGATTGGAATAAGCTTTACATTTACGGAAAACGCCGAGTAAGCCAATAGGTTACTCAAAGGTAAATATTTCTTTTCATCTAACAAAAAATTAGGTTAAGGCTCATCTCTTCCCCCGCTCTCATGACCTACCAAACGAATTCGGAAGAAAATGGTGTCTTACGTCATTATTATGACGTTGCAGGTACCAATTGGTTAACCAAATGGTATAACAACCAATTTAACCAAAGCTTGCCGAAATCGCCTATAAATAAAATTAATTTGGTTTCTAGCCATAAGGAGAAAGTAAATCTTTTAGTTGGATTGTATTTCTTTTTTTTTTTTTGTTCGTCGATAGGTGGTACATATAATATTGCACTTCCGTTTTATCAGATTTTATAAGGACATATAGATGTATTCGGAGCAGAAATAGCATAAAAGGGCTGGGACGACTCATGGTGCGCACTGTATATGTTTGACTAACCTAATAATTATTGTTATTGTGCTTTTGGAATGTTTTTTCGTTTATTTGTATACA